CCTGATGTTTTAGTTGTTGCTAAGTAGTGCTTATCCTAAATTAAGGATTTTTTGGTTTCCCATGCTCTGCCAGCAAGGAGATGCACAAGAAGCTGGGAGGAGGCACGGCCAGGACAGCTGACCTGAACACGCCAAAGGGATATTCCATACCTTAGCATGTCATGCCCAGTATAGAAACTGGGGGGAGTTACCCGGAGAGGGAGGGGGTCAGTGCTCAGGCACTGGTCAGTGGGTGGTGAGCAGTTGCATTGTGTATCACTTATCTTTTCTTGGGTTTTATCTCTCTTTTATTTATCATATTCCTATTATTATTATTATTATTATTATTATTATTATTATTATTATTATTATTATTATTTTGTTATTATTTTGTTATTATTGTATTAGGTTATACTTTATTTCAGTTATGAAACTGTTCTTATCTCAACACACGAATTTTACTCTTTTTTTCTGACTCTCCTCCCCATCCCACTCACTGGGAGGGGGAGAGGAGCAAGCAAGCTGCTGTGTTGTGCTTAGCCATTGGCTGCAGTTAAACCACGACACCGTTTCATGTTCCTCATTATCACCATCGTGTCTCAGTAACTGTGGGAACAGGGTCAAGGGACTGAGGAGGAATTTGAAGGGGCGTCATCAAGAAGGAAGCAAGACAGAAACAGCTTTGGAAATGGGCAACAACTTGTGTGCAGCCAAGTGAGTGTATGGTTAGGTCCCTTCCAACCCAAACCATTCTATGATTCTATCGTTCTATGATGAAAGTTAAAATGATGCAACCAATCAAAATATCTGAAACCCCAGATTCTTGAATCAGTGATGTCACCAAGAGCCTCGTACAGTCCAATATTATCCACTGCTGTTGTTTCATGTGGGCACCAGTGATTGAGCCAGGAGCAGAGTGAGGAGCATCAAGAAGGTCTACAGAGCCCTGGGAGCAGAAGTAAGGGACTCTGGAGCACAGGGAGTTTTTTCATCAACCCTCCCGGTCAAACAGGTTTGAAAGGACCAATCAAGCCTGGCAAATCAACAGCTGGTTACAGGACTGGTGCCACAGCCAGGGGCTCAGCTACTTAGACTACAGTACTTGCTTTGAAAAACCTGGTCTGCTGGGGCTGGTGGGGTCCACCTGTCTGAGAAAGGGAAAAGCATCTTCAATCATAGGCTTGCCGAGCTGGTGAAGAGGCTTTAAACTAAAGTTGCCAGGAGCGGGGAATCTAAATCCATCCCTGTCCTGGTTCAGCTAGGATAGGGTTAGTTTTCCCCAGCAGAGAGAGGGGGAAGGGATCTCCAGCCGGGTTATTCATACCATGCTGGCATCAGGTCCAGGGGCGGGAAACTTTGATTTTACTTTCTCTTTGGCTTTTTGGTGGTGGGACCCACGTGGTGGGATTGTTCCCTGACCATTTGTGGTATTTCTCTGTATATCATTTGTCTTGTTCACTGTTATTGCTACTATTGTTTATTGTTGTTATCATTGCTACTGTTGCTGTTCAGATTGTTTATCACACTGTTGTATTAAATTTCTTCTTATTTTAACCCGGGTTTGTGCCTCACTGCCAGCCCGACCGGCTGAGGGTGGGGGAGGGACAACGGCAATGTGCTCTCCGGTCCCGGCAGGGATTAAATCACAACAATCCCACTCCCACTACCTTGATGCCAGTGCCTGCAATAGATGCCCAGAGCCTGGAGAGGGGTCACAGCTCAGTAGGAGAGCACCTGAAGAACAGCACTGTCCAGTAAGTCAGCTTCATTGGGGCCCAACTTAAATGTCTCTATGCAAACGCATGTAGTGTGAGGAATAAGCAAGAGGAGGTAGAGATGTGCACATGCCTGCAGGGCTGTGATCTTATTGGCATCACAGAGACATGGTGGGATGGCTCCTATGACTGGAGAGTTGGCATGGGAGGATACAGGCTCTTTAGGAAGGGCAGACAGGACAAACAAGGACAAAAGGGTTGCCCTCTATGTCAGTAACTGGCTGGAGTGCACGGAGCTCTGCCTGGGGGTGGATAAGGACCAAGCTGAGAGCTTATGGGTCAGGGCTAAAGGGAGGCCAGGGATAGGTGACATTATAGTGGGGGTCCACTACAGGCCACCCACCCAGGAAGACCAAACAGATGAAACCCTCTATAGACAGAGGAGCAGCTTCACGTCCATAAGCCCTGGTCCTCACGGGGGACTTCAACCACCCTGACATCTGTGGAGGGACAAACTGAAGCACATAAGCAATCCTGGAATGTGTTGATAAATTCATTCTCCAAGTGACAGAGGTGCTGTGCTGGACCTTGTTCCCACCAACAAGGAGGGGTCAGTGGGGAGTGTGGACCACAAGGGCAGCCTTGGTTGCAGTGACCATGAACTGGTGGAGCTGAAGATCATGAAGGTGGTGAGAAGGGAGCACAGCAAGCTTACTACCCTGGACTCCAGGAGAGCAGACTTTGGCCTCTTCAGGGATCTGCTTGACAGAGTAACATGGGATAAAGCCCTGGAAGGAGGAAGGGCCCAAGAAAACTGGGTAACATTCAAGAATCACCTCCAAGCTCAGGAGTGATGCCTCCAGACAAAGAGGAAGTCAGGTAAGAACACCAGGAGGCCTGCATGGATGAACAAGATGCTCCTGGACAAAGTCAAGCATAAAATGGAAACTTATAGAGAATGGAAGCAAGGACAGGTAGCCTGGGAGGAATACAGAGAAACTGTCTGGGTAGCCAGGTTAGGTTAGGAAAACCAAAGCCTTGATAGAATTAGATCTGTCCAGGGACATCAAGAGCAATAAAAAATGTTTCACGGGTATGTCAGTGATAAAAATAAAGACTAGGGAAAATGTGGGCCCTCTCCAGAAAGAAATGGAAGACCTGATCATCCAGGATATGGAGAAGGCTGAGGTACTCAACAACATTTTTGCCTCAGTCTTTACCATCAGGTGCTTCAGCCACACTGCCCAAGACACAGAAGGTAAAGGCAGGGATTGGGAGAAGGTATAACTGCCCACTGTAGGAGAAGATCTGGTTCAAGACCATCTAAGGAAACTGATGAGATGCATCTGCATGTCCTGCGGGAACCAGCAGATGAAGTGGCTAAGCCACTATCCATCATATTAGAGAAGTTGTGGCAGTCTGGTGATGTTCCCATTGACTGGAAATGGGGAAAAATAACCCCCATTTTAAAAATGGAAATAAAGAACTGCAGGGAACCACAGGCCAGTCAGTCTCACCCCTGTGCCCAGCAAGATCATGGAGAGGATCCTCCTGGAAACTGTACTAGGCACATGGAAAATAAGGAAGTGATTGGTGACAACCAACATGGCTTCACTAAGGGCATAACTGTGCCTGACAAATTTGGTGGCCTTCTACAACAACGTTACAGAGTTGGTAGATAAGGGAAGAGCAAGTGACATCATCTACCAGGACTTACGCAAACCTTCTGACACAATCCCACACAACATCCTTGTCTCTAAATTGGAGAGACGTGGATTTGATGGATGGACCACTTGGCGGATAAAGAATTGGCTGGATGGTCGCACTCAGAGAATTGCAGTCAACACCTCGATGTCCGAGTGGAGAGCAGTGACGAGCAGTGTCCTCAGGGGTCAGTGTTGGGACCGGCACTCTTCAACATATTTGTCGTTGACATGGACGGTGGGATTGAGTGCACCCTTATCAAGTTTGCCGACAAGACCGAGCTGTGTGGTGGGGTTGACATGCTGGAGGGAAGGGATGTCATCCAGAGGGACCTGGGCAGGCTGGAGAGGTGGGTCTGAGCAAACCTCATGGAGTTCAACAAGGCCAAGTGCAAGGTCCTGCCCATGGGTTGGAGCAATTCCAAGCACTAATCCAGACTGGGAAATGAGTGGATGGAGAGCAGCCCTGAGGAGAAGGACTTGGGAGTAGTAGTGGATGGAAAACTGACTGTGAGCAAGCTCACAGCCCAGAAAGCCAACCGTGTCCTGGGCTGCATCAAGGGAAGTGTGTCCAGCAGGGCGAGCGAGGGGATTCTCCCCCTCTACTCTGCTCTCATAAGACCCCCCTGCAGGGCTGGGTCCAGCTCTGGAGGCACCAACATCAGAAGGACACGGACCTGCTGGAGTGGGTCCACAGGAGGCCCCAAAGGTGATCGGGGGGCTGGAGCACCCCTGTGAGGACAGGCTGAGAGAGTTGGGGGGTTCAGCTGGAGAAGGCTCTGGGGAGACCTTAGAGCGGCCTCCCAGGGCTGAAAGGGGCTGCAGGAAAGGGGGGGGGGACTCTGGATCAGGGGTGTGGGGATAGGATGACGGGTAACAGTTTTAAACTGAAAGAGGGGAGATTTAGGTTAGATGTAAGGAAGAAATTCATCCCTGTGAGGGCGGTGAGGCCCTGGCACAGGTTTCCCAGAGAAGCTGTGGCTGCCCCCTCCCTGGAAGGGTTCAGGGCCAGGTTGGACGGGGCTTTGGGCAACCTGGGATAGTGGAAGGTGTCCCTGCCCAGGGCAGGGGGGTTGGAACTAGATGATCTTTGAGGTCCCTTCCAACCCAAACCATTCTATGATTCTATGATATGATTCTATGATTCTGAAACCCGAAGTATTTCACTTTTCTACCTCTGATGTGGCATTCGACATATATTTGACTTATTGCTGAACATATAAAGTAAAATCTGTAATTCCTTCTCAACTGCTCAGGACTTGTGGTCTGTTTTATACTAAAAATAAAATGTGATTGGGAAAGAATCCAAGATTATTTTTATGGAAGTTACTTTTAACCTGTTTTTCCCCGATTGCACTACCATGCATTTCTACTTGCCCAAAACCCAACAGCTGTCAGGGGAAGCTTGCATAAAGACTGCAAGATAGGGACTAAACCTGTGAACAACTACTAGTACAATGAGAAATACTAATTGACTACAACAGTAACTCCCACAGGGTATAGTAAAGCTTCTTTTGGAGGCAGTGAAGCACAGAAAAGCCAGATGTTCTCATACGATAGCATTAAGCACCTTGAACTCTGGAGATGTAGGCTCTAAGTACTCTGTCTACAGTCCTGATCTTGTTTATTCTCTCAAGCATGACTTACACAAAATATTCTCAGAAAAATATTACTTAGTCCTGGGATTAGGATATTCTGTGTGTGGTGTGGAACACAGGGGTGGTCCATGCATCAGGCTGTGGTGGAGAAGGTGGTCCCTAGGTAGTCACAGCCCGTACACTGATTGCACACATTTAAACCACATCCTACAAATATTTTGTTGTACATATCCTCACAGATGGTGCTGATTCCTGGAGATGTGATTTTTCATAGATAAATTCAGCAGATCCAAACCCCGTATCTCAATCTCTATCAAGGAACCACAGGCTTGTGCATTCATATGCAGTCTTACTAAAGCTATAACCAAAGTAAACAGAGGTAGGAGGTGAGTGCCTTCAAAGGGTCAATGCAACTGCAAAGGAGTTCATGTCTTGGTGGTGCTTGAGAGTTGTCACAACTTCGCCCGACTCTTAGGTGTTTGTGGTGGTTTAGGCCCTGCTGGGACCAGAGACCACATTGTTGTTGTCCCTCCCACACCCTCGGACCAGGCAGGGCTGGAAGTGAGGCACAAACTCCGGGGTTGAAATAAGAAAAGATTTAATACAACAGTGTGATAAACAATCTGAACAACAACAGTATCAATAACAACAACAATAAACAGTAGTAACAGTAAACAAGACAAAAGATAAACAGAGAAATGCTGCAAAGGACACAGCCAGCCCGCCGTGTGTGCTTCCCGCGACAAAAGCCCACAGGAAACTGTTCCCGTGCTTCCGTGCCGGACCTGACATCAGCATGGTATGAATAACCCGCCTGGAGATCCCTTCCCACTACTGGGGAAACTTAACCCTATCCTAGCTGAACCAGGACAGTGTTCCACTGTAGCCAGGCAAGGTCTTGTCAGAGAAAGAGCCATGAACAGTCACCTTTCCACACGGCGTTGCTTACCATTCAGGAATGATTCCTCTGTTTGATTTCATCCCTAGGAATGGAAGTCTGCAATAGCTTTACTTCAGCTAACCATTGCAGGAGCTATGGACACACACACGACCAGTATGATGAATCAATGCCCATTTATTGAAGGTAACCAAGCCCTTTTATTGGTTTCTCCTATGCACGTGAACGGTACATGGTGCAATCCTTATGACTGAACAGTTACCTTTGTCCACGCGCTTCAAGTCTTCTCATGATTAGATAATAAGCGTCACACTCAAATGTCTTTCTCCGCCCAACCCATCTCCTGGAGTTGGTTGCTGCGTACTTTGTTCTATGTCCTTGCCGAGGCGTGCACATGTGTAGGATTACTCACATGTCCATTATCTCCCAACATATCCCTCTTTTTGTTTTTGAGCAATCCACATTCTGTGCAGGCTTTTTTTGCAATGATTGTTAATACAACAAACTAAGCATGGCAAAATAATAACAATCATAAGAATTCCAACAATTCCAACAATTCTCCCTTGTAACAACTTCTTCAACTATCCTGTGAACATGGTTAATTTTCTTATGTAACGTTCTTATGGGCCCCTACTGGTTTGGAAGGGATTTCAATAAACACATTCAGAATGTATGAGCATTAATCACTTAGAACCATTGCAAGGCTCAGGGTTGTGAGCTTGACCTTCTTTCCAAGGCCTCCCCAGCAAGATGGAACCCACCGTAAGCCATGATCTGTAAGCAAACCCATATAACCTCTGCCTGTTAACTGTACTTTAACAGGTCCTTCCCATTGCCCAGTATTGAAGTTTTTGAACATAACTAACGGTTGCTGTGTGCCCATAGATTGTTCAGCATCACCCTTTATTGCTAAACTGTGAATCATCATTGGTGGTTTCTGACGTTCTCCTGTAAGCCTCAAAAAATTTAAAACATATAAAACTTTATTTAATCATTCAGCTGGCATCATATCTGACATTCCCCCTTTTTGTTTTTGAAGCATTTGCTTCAGAGTTTGATGAGCTCGTTCGATGATTGCTTGTCCAGTAGGAGAGTGTGGAATTCCTGTGCGGTGTTTAATGCCCCATAAGATACAGAAGTGTTGGAAGCGTCCAGAAATATATGCTGGACCATTGTCTGTTTTGATCTTTCTTGGCACTCCAAGTACAGCAAAAGAACTATATAAGTGTTTTTCAACATGTTTAGCTGTCTCTCCAGCTAGAGCTGTAGCCCAAATAGTCATGGAGAAGGTATCAATAACCATGTGTACATATTTTAACCTACCAAATTCTACTATGTGAGTAACATCCATTTGCCACAATTATAGCACTTCTTCCCTCTTTTTGCTCCCCCCTCTTTATTTTGGAAAAATGCTGCATCCCTCTATTGGTTAATTCAATCATGTCAGCTACAGATGCTCCTTGTGGGAGGGTAACTAACAATAGCTTGGTGGATGGGTTGGCATTCTCAAAGGTCATTAGTTTAAACATGTTTTCCTTCATTTCTACAGTCATGTCATACTGCTGTTCAAGAGAGTCATAGAGGCAATCTACAAATTTAAAATAAGGCTCATTAAGACCTTGTTTTACTGTTACAAATTTATCTTGCCGTTTCCCTTCTGTATCAGGCACAGACATTAGGGCTTGACAAGCTATTGACTGCGATAGTTGCAACACTTCATTAAAGAAATTGACTTGTAGATCTACTGTTGCAAAGGGTCCTGTACCTAACAACATTTGCGTTTGAATGAAACAAAGTGTATTGCCTTGTGGTCACGGCTGAGCTTGCTCATTATTAGCTAATTTAGCCCATGCACTTTCATACAACATTTTTTGAGATGGAGGTAATATAACTGCTGCTATTTGATCAATATCTTTTGGAATTAACAGTGATGATGAAAAAATATAATAATTTGTTAATTGATGATGAAGACCATTTTGCATTACTGAAGCTCTAGCCTTTTCAAGCAATTTCCAATCTAAAGGATCCCATTCATTAGTACCACTAACACTATTAATAGAAACAGGAAACGCTTGTACGCTTTCAGGAATAAAAGACCCCTCCACTATAGCATCTCTAATAATCTCTTTCCATCAGCGTGTGGCCACAGAGGCACTCTGCACCTGTGAAGAAAAAATATGTGAAGTTGTAGGGTGAAACGAAGGAAGCGCAGCCTCCGCCTGTGATGATAGCAAGAATGGATTAGAAGCAGGTACTGGAACCGAATACTCAGGTGGCAGATCAGGAGCAGACAGTTGCAGTTGCGTGCCAGATGAAAAGGTATACGATCTGTGCTCCATCTTCTCCTCCCGTGTTGCAGCCAGTTTTTCAAGCTTGTCTATTAAGTTGCAAGAGTGAAGTTTCTTTGTTTGAAACACCGACTTGTGAGGCGGGGGTTTCTCTCCCTGCGAGGAAGGCACAGGCGGCGATACGTCGGTTCCACCCACGTTCCCATCCGCGCTCTGACCACCGCTGGGCTCTGGTGATGCCCCCGCTCTCCCCTCACTCTCCTCTCGCGCGGCACCAGGCATCTCCCGCTCCCGCCCATGCAGCTCCCAGTCTAACCCCTGTTTCCCACCGCGGCCCCGCCAGTGCAACCAATGAAGCAGATGGGTTTTTCGGCCGACATAACGCGACGGGATCTGCCAGCGGCGCAGGCACCGTGGGCAGTATATCAGAGCCAGAAGCCGCTTCTACAGCTGCAAAGGTGGAAGTACCAGCCACGCGGTCACCAGCCGCGCAGTCATCGCTCAGCTCCTCTATTGTCTTGTGGATCAGCTTCCAGAACACGGGATAGTCGCTCACTTCTTCTGCCGACCTTCCCCCTCACTGATCGCGTCCCAAAGCCTTTTTCCTATGGATTCCCAGGTAGGTATCTCAAATATGAGACCTGCACTGGAGATAAGTCCTCTTTCCCAGTTCCATTTCACCAAGCCTTTCAGGGTGGACTTACCATATTTTATCCCTCTCATGGAGAGGATATCTTGGACTACTTTCACCACTGCTTGCTCGTCCCTGCCGAGAAAAGACCCCATTCCTCCACAGCCGCTGCTTCTTTTCGCAGATCTTCAACCCAAATTACAGCGCGCTGCTTCTCACCTTCAGACCCTGGGGCAGGGTCTGGATCAGTTTCGACCGGCTTTCCACTCTCAACTGCACCTCTGTTGAGTCCTCAGCAAAGACTTGTGCCAATCTTGAGGGTCCCTGTTTGGGCACCAGATGCGGGAGCTGTGGACATGCACACGACCAGTATGATCAAGCACTGCCAATTTACTGAAGGTAAGCAAGCCCTTTTATAGGTTTCTCCTATGCACGTGAACGGTACATGGTGCAATCCTTATGACTGGACAGTTAGCTTTGTCCATGTGCTTTGAGCCTTCTCACGATTGGATAATAAGCGCCACACTCAAATGTCTTTCTCTGCCCAACCCATCTCCTGGAGTTGGTTGCTGAGTTCTTTGTTCTATGTCCTTGCCGAGGCATGCACATGTGTAGGATTGCTCATATGTCCATTATTTCCCAACAAACCATCATCTGTCCTTCAGCTAAGAGGCCTGAAGTGGAGACATCACACAGGAAGAAGAGATGGAATGAAAACCATTGTAGCAGAGTTATGCCAGATCACACCACCAACCATTTGCTGATGGGACTGCCATGAAATGCTCCAACACACCTGAGAAAGACCCCAGGACATCAGGAACCTTCTGACAGTCATGAATGGTGTCAGCAGTGGGACAAGCACACCACTCCCAGCAGAAATTTTCATTGCAAAGTAAGTAAGACAATAAGGCAGCCATGTGAGCCAGCCATCAAAAGGTGAGTCCTAAATGAACTCAACCAAGAGCTCCAAAGGAGAAGATAATGTTTTTGCCAGTCACCCATTGATCTTTTTAACTTCATAGGAGTATGGGAGAAAAAAAAAAGGTGATTTAATTTTCTCTTACCTTTCAACTGTATCAGCATTTGTATTCTGTTTAGGTGCTGCTTTTGCGTAACTCAGGGGCAGATTCAGACCCACAACTGGGCCTACAGTACTAAGCCACAATATAATGTAATTTGTGTGTCTAGGGTAAAAAAAAATTCACCGTAAACGTATTATCCCAGCTTCTTCTGAATTGCAGACACACTTGACAGTCATAAAATAACTATCCCTTCACTTTATCTATACCAGATATATTTTAACTTTCAGCCCTTAGGTGACAATCCAGAACCTTATTCTGTTTGGACCAAGAAAGTTGTTTTGACCATTTCCACTTCCTGGCTGATTTACTTTATCTGCACTGCATAATGCCTTGCAAGGCACAGTAGAGTGTCTCACCTGTTCTGTTTCTGTGAACTGGTCAGTATAGGAGACATGAATTCATTAGTCCGGCAGGGGTGCAGAAAAAAATATGGCTGCCCAAGTAAGGGGTGCTCCTAAGAAGGAATATCAGTTGGTTTATTATGCAAGAAGAAAACAGAAAAGATACTGTATGCATTTGAAGAAGGCAAAACAGGATCCTTGACACAACTCTTCTCATTTCAGAATCTAACCAACATTGCTCTTTTACTGATAGTCATTGACAAATTAATATTTGAGTCCACATTCTCCTATCTTAAAAGGGAAATAAGATCACCAACCAGGTTATGCCACCATTTTTGATAAAATGTAATGGTTTGCAAAAGTAACTCATGTTACTCAATCAGCATTACCCGAATGCAAGTAGGCAAAGCTACTGTATGTAAGTACCTGATCAAAAGTAATACATGACACAAATCCACTGCATTGAAAAGTTTTTTAACAACTTTGACCCCTTATCCTTCCAAAATGGTGCTGGGAAGCAAATTTAATTTGGAGCCTGTGAGGCGGAGCAAGAAGGAAGAAGAGCCCTCAAGGTGGCTTTAACTTCCAGGAGGTGGCTTATTATTTTAGGCTATTCTACAGCAAAATGTCCTAAAACAGTTCTTCGAGAAGCCCAGTCAAAACTATCCTACAGAAAAGAAGAAAATCACTTAGTGACAGTTAAGTCTGCAGACAGACACACTCCCTACAACATGGTAAGACTGTCTGTTCCTCTCCACACTGCACACAGTGCTGCTGAAAACTCAATCCAACGCTCCATAAAGATTTCACATTCATCTCCAGCATGCACTTGAACAGAAAACGTGTTCTGACTTAATCAAGCTTGCACTCAATGCATAACGGTGATCTCATCAGCTCTTACATGGGTGATACCACGAGATCAGCATATCTGACTGTCTCATGCACCATGCCCTAGGGAAGTGATTTTCCTTTAATGCTGCTGAGGTCACTGCTAGTGCTTCTGCACCAAAATAAACAAATCCTACCTCATCCCCATGCACAAGAAGGGACATACAGCACAGCAGGGAATGGCTAGAAAGGGATTCCAGGCAAGGAAGATATCAAATACAAAACAAACACCATGATAGCCTGTTTACAGCTGAGCAGACTGTGCTTGGATGCCGCTAAGCCCAGGACTCCTCCACAGCTGTAAAGCACAGAATGCAATGCAGCGGGGTGGGGAGAGGAAGGCATGGACCACGACCAAGAAAACAGCAGGATCACCGCCTCTGCATGGCATTCCCAGTTCAGCCATGTAAGCCTGATCCACTGCACTATGCTACTCACCAGAGACACGGCAGAGACCAACTATGAGGTTTAACATGACAGGTGTTTTATCCTAGGTAAAGACCCTTTTCCTTAGATGTGCTTCTTGTAATGGCTCTGTTTCCCAGTAGTGAAGAAGCAATACTAAATTGATGCTCTAACACAGATTTCCCTTGTCCAAGCTGAAGCAGTTGTAGCCAGAGTCCCCTAATTCTGTGATAGCATTTTATCTTAGCATGTAGTAAACTGCCTGCACTGAAGAGAAGATGCTTACAAAGTCTTCCTGTTACACAGTGAAAACTTTCTCCAACCCCTTGCCGAGAAACAAAAAACAAATCCTAGCCTGTCATGTTCAGCAAATAGGACATGTTCTATATTATTAAATATTGAACAGGGTCTCTTACAGCTGAAGGACACTTGGTTCTTATGCTGAAAATGTACTCATGAGGATCAATCATTTTATGACATTGCAGTTGCAAACAGATAACTTGCACAAGAATGCTACCATCTGCTGTTGGTAAAAGTGAACTGATGTTCTTTTCTGTGGAGAAAAAGTGGCAGTTTGTATTAAAACTCCTTTCTAACTATCTGCTAGTTTAAATCAGCTTAGGTCTCCAAATAATTCCAGAAAATACATAGATTATGCCAATGGTGTTCCTCAAAGATAACAACAACAAAAAAAGAGAGTTAACAATATTTACAAACCCATTAAGCAAAAGGAAAAAAAAAAAAAAAGGAGACTAGGCAGCAATTTTACCCAACTTCCTTACACAGAAAGAGCATAAAGAGGTAGCACACACTCCCCAAAAGAGCAGCAAAAATAATCTGGGCTTTAAGTGATTTAGCACTCTGAACAAGGCATAAAAATAATTCCGAAAGCTGAATATTAAGCTTGAAGTAATTCCCAGTCATTCTGTCACCTGGTATTTGATTCTATCCTGCACTTCTTGCTTCAGGAAACCACCAGTGAGAGACAAATGGAGGCCAGATTTTATTTTTTTTAATAGTTCACTAACTTTACATTGTATGTCCTTCTTTTAGTCCTTCCTCTGCTTACGTGACAGAGTGACACTGAAAAAAATTCCCAAACTCTAACAATTAGGTGTCCTTATGAAAAAGCAATGTGCATTGCTACTCAGCTTTTCAAAAGGGTAACATCCTTGGTCCCACCATCGTTGGCATCAATATCTGTAACTTAGGAGCATGTGATAGAGGTGAAATTTGTTCACACTCCAAATTCCCTGCAATCTCTCCTCCATTCTTTTTGGACAGGTGGAAAGGCTCTTTCTTCCCCTCCAGATCCAACAGATGTAAAGGGAGAGGTTTTTGCTACAGGACCCAGCCATCAGCTCCTGGGTTGATATGAAGGCTCTGAGAACACTTGGTCTTAGTGAAACCTTCTTCCTAACTTGTCTCCTTTTTGTCGAATTATCAAGGGTTGCTTCCTACACATCCTGAAGTAATGGGTGTGCCAGGGTGGTGTAAATATCACAATACACAGAATTTTGAATGGCAACAATTAAATAATCCAGGGTTTAGTTTAACTCATGCTGTGTCCTGGCCGGGCTTTGAGAACGGCATGTGCACTAAAGCTGCATGTCTGCACATTCAGAAAGATCTGCTTTGGTTTCCATTTATCGCAGTATTTTTGAAAACTGAACACTGTCAATTATTTGTTTACTTCTAATCCAGGAAACTTAAATTCATTATGACACAGATCCTTCAGCACTGAAAGTCCACATGTGTGATCTCATGCAAAACGGCTGTGTCCAAAGTCAGACTTTTGCAATAAGCTTGCTGCATGTGCCTTTCTTTCTCTAAACAAAAAGCATGAAAGTGCAAGAATGCCATGCTGTTTATTCAAAACCTGAAAGACAGGGATATCTCACACATGGATAGGAAAACCAAAAAAGCGCAAGAGATTAAAAGAAATCCTGAGCCAAGACCCATTAAGCAGCAGCCTCTAAAAAGCAAAAAGGCTGAGGCAGGACTGTTGAGCGTCAGGGAAAACACCCTGAGAGCATCAGATCTGATTCAGTCAAATCCTAAATGCCAAATCCTGTATATAATGGCATCCCCACAAGGCTTTAATGTATAGTGAAGGTTAGATCACTGACACAGCAGCTCTGAGGAGGAAGTACCAGACAGCTGCCAATAAAAATGCAAGAGTTATCAAAGTCCGGAATGATTTCAGAATTGGTAATGGGCTACACAGCCTTTACATTGCCAGGTCACAGTTCAGATTAGGCCTGGGCTGGAGGTAGCTAGAACTCAGTACTGCACAAGAGCTGTATATGCAAATGTCAGGTTTCACACGAAGTACCACTAATTAGTGCCCTTGCTGGTAGTCACTGCAGATGAGTCCAGAACTGAAGATGGTGGTTTATCTTGTCACCATAGGGAGCAGTCCCTGTAGGTCAGCTCTGAAGTCAGGAAAAGCAGGGAACTCGCACTTCTGTTGCTCATGGCATGCCCTAAGAGAGGGCTGTGCATCCATAGTATGACAAATCCCAAGTCCTTCTCAAACACTATCAAAAATGTGAGAATGAGTGAAAGTTTGTGCTGCATCAGCTTCATGAGCATATTTACTACCTGCTGCAGCCATCTGGTGGAATGATATTCCACATGCAGTGAAATGTATCCTGAGTAAAATATTAGGGCAGCAATACTAGCCATCAGCCAGCCTGATCCATAAACCCGTTAGATAAAAAATCTAAAGTCCTATTGGACTATGGCAATCCCCACCACCACTTTAAATAGTATAAAAGAGTCTTCCCACTCTTAGTTCACAAATAATCTTCTCCAAACTGGTCATGTGGAAATGCAGTTTAGACAGTAATGTGGGAGAGTTTCGAATCAATTCTCACAATTACTCACTGGCATTGTGCAGCAAGAACCCATTTGCTGGTTGTCCAGAACTCTTCTGGACAGTAGTACACTGACACACAGTTTATTTGAAAGCAACAGCATTATTTTCTTGTACCTGTCTATGAGGCTGATTCATAACACTGTCTGTTCAGCACCGTATGCTGGAGTCCGTCATACATCTGCATATCCCTCAAAGTCTGACCCAACTTTCATAGAAAATAAAATTTTTACAGGCAGCAACTAGCTCCATTGAATTTGAAAGCTCAAAATGTTGCTTCATTTATTTTCTGCAGAAGGACCTCTTTACTAGGAGGCTTCAAGAAAGATTTGTAAGGATGTTCTGTACTCATTTCTGTAGTCATTACCTCAACTCCTGCCACACAAAACCATGCAAGAGAGAGATGGATGAAAGGTGGGAAATGTTTCATTAGGTAGTTTGAAAATTAATGTAGTTTTGTTTAGGAATGCTACACAAGATTGAATGTGACTGAGTGCTGGAAGCACAACAGCCTACGATTCATTAGCTGTGCAGCCATAACCACTTGTGCACTGGTGCTGAGCTGCCTCAGTTGTGAGCTTAAACCGGTGACCTTAAACCCCTTCCACTGATGTTTAAGTTAGATAGTGTGTCTGAGTCCTCAGCAGCAACAACAAAAAATGAATGCGACAGGCTCCCAGAAAACTGGAAAACATTTCAGTTGAGCAGCAGCTTTTCCTGTGTGGCATAAGGAGGCCTCTTCCCATAATGTCCATCAGAAACTGAAGGCTTGATCAACCATCTTTCGCCTGTCCTGTCAGCACTGACTAATGAAACTAGACCATCCCTCACAGGGTCATCAAGAATTACAATGTGAAAAACTAACTTCATCCCCTCTCCTGTGCAGCGCCTACAGCACAGTGAAACGTTAAGACATGAATCTGGACAGTGGCAAAGACTGGG